ACAGCCTGGGGTGGGGGTGGGTGGTGGGTGGGGATGCGGGCGAGAGGGAGCAGTTTATTTTCTCTGGCAGCAGCACTGCGGAGATGCCAGAGAGGGTCCCTGGGTGTGGGATTGTGGGAGATGCTTTTTCCCCCGCCTCTTTACACATCTGTGGGCTTTCTATAGGTGCGTATGTAAAAGAATGGAAAACAATCAATGGTGCTAATAGCTAATCTTTATTGAGCATTTACTACATGCCCATTTGACATGTATTAACTCATCGAACCCTGACAACCACCCTGCAAGGTCCTATTTTCAGGTGAGGAACTGAAGTGCAGAAAAGAAAATAAGGTAATAATGAAGAATCCGAACAACCAAAATTTAAAAAGAAGTTGTCAGGAGCAAAGGAATGATTCACGAAGGCTACAACATGACAAAAACATCATGCTCAGTGGAAGGAGTGAGACACAAAGACCACGGATTGTATGACTCCATTTATATGAACTGACCAGAAAAGGCCAATCCATAGAGATAGAAAGATTAGGCGTCGCCTGGGGCAAGGGAAGGAAACGGAATAAGAGTAGGTGGGCACGAGGGATGTTACTGGGAGAGATGAAATATTCTGAAACGGATTTATAGTGATGGTTGCACAGCTTCGTAAATGTACTGAAATCCACTGGAATGAGTGAATCATACGATCAACAAAATATGCCTCAACATAGTTGTAAACCAAAGTCATGTTGTTAAGGTGAGAAAAATCTAACATTTACTGAGCACCTCTTCTGCACTTGACAGGAGTCTTCTCTAGCACTAACAGCTCGTTTTGTTTACCTGAACTCAACTTCGTGGGGCACCAGGTGCCAGGCACCACGCCTGGATATGGGGTTTATAGTGAACTAGGCCTGGTTCTGGCTCAAGGTCGCTTTCCTGATGGAGATCACGGTCTAGCAAGAGTTGGAAGGTTGGGGTGGGGATGGGGTGAGAGATGAGGATGAAAAAGCCAGCAATGGCAAGAGAGTGTACCTGGGGCTGTCATGGGGTAGTGGTCATGCTCATGTGGCCTAAAGGAAGCGCTCCACCCTCAGATTTGGAGGGTTCTGGGGGTGGGCAGAGGTTTTATGCATGAGTTTGAAACCTGCAGGCAGAGGGGTAGTTACTGGGTAAAATCGCAGGGGAATGGGGTGGGGAGAATGAAGTTATTTGTCCATTCGTTATTAATGCTTTTATTCATTCATTCAGCTACCGTTTATCGAGAACCTACCATGTGCCCCCAACTCTTTGACAGACCAGGCAGGATGGCCATGACAGGAGGCAGGGTGGACTCATGGGTGAAGCCCTGCCCTTTCCACTGATGAGAGAACCCATCCTTGTTTGGCAGATGGAGGCTGGCATCCCTCTTGGGGATATGCCTTTGTCTATGCCAGTGAATCCCTCACCCAGTGAGGACTCACCTGTGCTCCCTTTGGATGATGGATGGGCGGGGGCAGGGAGGGTGGAGGGAGGTGAGGGTGTCCAGGGCTGAGGCGATGGAAACACTGACCTCACTGAGCAGCTTGGGGCAGGATTGAACATTAGCCAGGGGGTGGGGCCAAAATTCTAGACCAGGCTTTGCCACCAATTTACTGGGTGATCTGGGTTAATCCCCCCTCTCTGGACCTCGATTCTCTTGTCTGTAAAGTGAGAGTACTGGGCTTGGTGCTCTCTGAGCTCCACCTGGCTGACATTGACGATGAGCAGGACTTCCGGCCTCAGAAACCTCCAGAGCTACGTGAACTTGTCTTGGTTCACCTGGGACTTTCTGGTTTTAGTGTCGAGAGCCCTGCATCAAGAAGAACTCTTGGTCCTGGGCAAAGGAAGGTAGTTGGTCACCCCATTAGAAGGACATAAGGTTAGCCTTCCCTCTCATCTTACCCACAAAGAGCAAGATACATGGCGACTCACTTTTGCTCCCATGTGGCCACAGCACTATTTTCTAGCCATTTTTTTTTTGTACATGTCATATTTCTACAACTCAGTTGGAAATTCCTTTTAACCTGGGTACTACTTCCCCCATTTCCTTTAGATCTTCTGGTCTGCTCAGCTACCTCCTCCAGGCCAGGTATCTGTTCTTGCCCCACCACCTCCCCCTGCCACCTTGGCTCCAGAAGGTCTTTTCGGTTGTGTGTTCATTAGCTCTACCGGGACTCCTTAAACTCTTGCCTTCTGTTAGCACCAGGTCTGTGCTGAAGGAAATGCTCAGTGAATGATCATGGAATGTCTGAATCTTTCCAATGCCCAGGACAGGGCTGGGTGCCCCCTGATACCCCAACTCCAGGGCAATGCTGCTGGGTGGGACTTATCCTTCCTGGAACAGGCTGCAGAGACCCACTTCCAAAATGTGGCTTCTTAACCCTTGTTGTCCCCCAGGCTCCTTGAGCATCTGGTGAAGCCTTTGGACCTCTTTTCAGAATAATTTTTAAAAATAGCATTAGGATTACAATGAAAACAATTTTTACTAAAATACAGTTATCAATATATTTAAAAAATGTGATGTAGTAACATACTTACTTCTTTACTAAATAATAGTAAATAATAAAATTTAGTAGTGAGTGTAATAGGATCTTAATTTCAGAGTTGTGGTAGCTTAAATGGTATTTTGAGATATTCACAACAACTGTAGTATTGATATAAAAATATCTTTGATTTCTATTAGGACAGAATCACAGGAACTTCTACTGCCTGCCTGTACTCGTGATCAAAGGAGATGCTAAGTACCATTTAGAGATTAGTGACAAGGGATCCCTGGGTCTGCGCAGCGGTTTGGCGCCTGCCTTTGGCCCAGGGCACGATCCTGGAGACCCGGGATTGAATCCCATGTCGGGCTCCCGGTGCATGGAGCCTGCTTCTCCCTCTGCCTGTGTCTCTGCCTCTCTCTCTCTCTCTCTCTCTCTGTGACTATCATAAAAAAAAAAAATTAGAGATTAGTGACAATAAAGATAGGACTTTTGTCCATCCCAGTGTCATAAATTCTATCCTGGAATTTCTTGGTGGTGAGGGAGGGGGTGGTCAGGACCTCCAGCTTTAAGGCAAAGGGGTTCTGATCCTTTAGGTTAAATAAACAAAATCACCAGGAGCTGAGAGAACAAAGAGCAAAGAACAGTGACCACACCGGGTTGGGCAAAGCAGAGAAAGGTTTTGAGACAGGTGAGTTTCGGTGGCGAGTGTTGTAAAGGTGAGCCCATTTTGGCAGGGAGCAAGGAGCTGTGGTAGAGGGAAGGAAACACGGGGAGGGTTTGCTCTTGTGACCAAATCAAAAGCAGCAGATTAACACAACAGGCACGACCTCCTCCCAGAGCAAGCCCAAGTCTCCTTTGTGTCTCTTTTGTCTCCGAGAACACCAAACCATTGTCCCTATAAGACAGGGTACCTGCCCTCGAGCTTACATGGGAGACCAAACACAAAAGTCAATAAGACAAAATTAAATTGCAATTCAAAAAATGCAGCTGGAAGAATGTGGAACACGCCACGTGTCTGATTAGGTGTACACAGTGCAAGCCACAGGCGTCAAGGTGTGGGTCATCTGCCCTCAGAAGGTCTCCAGGAAGGATCAAATGGGAAAATGCGCAAGAGGCCGGAGGTGTGGGATTGCAGGTTAGAGAATGCGCTTTGGGATGGGATTGCTTGTCGCTCCTCTGGTCTCAGTGACCTTCTCTGTAAAATGGGGATGATAAGTATGGCACCTGACACAGAGGAAGCGCTCAGTAACGGGAGCTATTATTATTATCAATAAGAGAAGAATGATGGATATTTGCAATTTGGTTCAAGGGACTCCAGGAGGCTAGAGAACCTGGGTCTTTAGTGTGGTGGATGTGAAAGGACGGAATGAACGAACGAATGAAGGATTGAATTCTCGGGTTGGCTCCGCCCTCCAGGCTGGTTCCTTCCCCCACGCGGCCCCCTAAGCGGTTGGAGGGAATGCACCCCAGCTGTGGGGTCCCCAGCGATGGGCGTGTGAGTGTGCGGCGGCGGGGGCGGGGTCACTCTGGGCCGGGAGCGGCTGTAGCCGGGCTGAGATTTAGGGTGTCACATTCCGGGACGGTCTCCGCTCAGCCCTCCCCGGCGCGGCACCTCGGTGGGCCCGGGGACCCGCCGGCCTCGGGACCCCTAGGCGGGGGCGAGCGGTGCACGGGCCCGCCCGGGTCCACCACGTGGGGGACGTGCGGGCGGAAGCGCTGCCCTATCCTGGGAAGGTCGATCTGGGCCGCCCCAGGCTGGGGTGGGGGTGGGGGGCGGACGCACCCTCGGGCGCTCGGGCCCCCCAGCCCTTCCAGGACACGCCGTGGGACTTTGGGGCCGAGGGTGTCGCGATGGGGAAGGGAGGGAAGCGGAGCCTCCCGCGTAGAGGGCGTGGGGGAAGGGGCGCCCTAGCGGGGAAACGTGCGCGGCTCGGGCTGCCGGTCCCTTTAAGGGGCCGGGCTGGCTCTGCGGCGGAGCCGGCTCACCGCGGGGCTGGCGCAGCTCTGCGGTCCGGGTCCCCAGGCAGAGCCTCGGAGCCAGGCGGGGGGGCGGGGCCCGGCGCGGGAGGGGGCGTGGTCCAGCCGGGAGCTGGGCGGAGCCAGCGCTGCAGGCAGCCCGTCCACGCCGCCCGGGTAGCGCGGGGGGCGGAGTCAGGGCTCGGGGGCGGGGCCCGGCGCGGCAGGGGGGCGTGGTCCAGCCGGGAGCTGGGCGGAGCCAGCGCTGCAGGCAGCCCGTCCACGCCGCCCGGGGAGCGCGGGGGGCGGAGCCACGGGCGCGGGGGCGGGGCCCGGCGCTGCGGGCCGCGGGGGCGGGGCCTCGGGCTCGCGGAGCGCCGCAGAGGGAGGCGGGATGGGCGGGGCGAGGGCGGGGGCGGGGCCGGGGTCTGCAGTGGGCGGGGCCCGCCGCAGGGGCAGAGCCGGCCGGGAGTCCTCCGCGCGCGGCTGCCGCGGCGCATCCACAGCGCCCCTGACAGCCCCGGCGCCGGGACCCGCGCCCCGCGCCCCGCGCCCGCGCCCGCGCCCGCGCCGCCCCGCGCCGCCTTCCGGCCTCCCGCGCGGCCCGACTCCCGTCCCTCGCCTCGGCGCCCACACCCGGGGGCGGCCCGGCCCGCTGTCGCCGCGGGGGCCGCGTCTGGCGCGCATCTGGAACCGCCCGGCCGGCCGCCCTGGAGCCCGCGCCCGCCCTGGCCCGGCCGCGCCGGGAGCCCTGCCCCGAGCTGGAGCCGCACCTGGAGCCGCGGGCCCGGGGCCCTGAGCCGCGCAGCCGGCGCATGGTCAACTCGCTGCTGTTCGGGGAGATGGCCTTGGCCTTCGGCTGCCCGCCGGGCGGCGGCGGCGGGGGCTGCCCCGGCGGCGGCGGCGGCGGCGGCGGCGGCGGCGGCGGCGGCGGCGGCGGCGGGGCCGGGCCGGGGCCGTCCCCGGTGACGGCGGCGCTGCGGGACGACCTGGGCTCCAACATCCACCTCCTCAAGGGGCTCAACGTGCGCTTCCGCTGCTTCCTGGCCAAGGTGCACGAGCTGGAGCGGCGCAACCGGCTGCTGGAGAAGCAGCTGGAGCAGCAGCAGAGCGAGCGCGAGCGGCGGCTGCGCTACAAGACCTTCTCCCGCGAGCAGGCCGTGCAGACCGGGCCCGAGCTGCTGCGGCCGCCGGCGCCCGGCGCGGGGCTCGGCAGCGGCGGCGGCGGCGGCGGCGGCGGAGCGGCGGCGGGCGCCAACGCCAACGCCAACGCCAACGCCGTGGCCCTGGGCGGCCTGCCCCCCGGCGGCGGCTCGCACCCGCAGCACTACGGCCGCCTGCCCGGGACCATCTGGAGCTACACGCAGGTGCGGCGCACGGGCGGCGGCGGCGTGGAGACCGTGCAGGGCCCCGGCGTGTCGTGGGTGCACCCCGACGGCGTGGGCGTGCAGATCGACACCATCACGCCCGAGATACGCGCGCTCTACAACGTGCTGGCCAAGGTGAAGCGCGAGCGCGACGAGTACAAGCGGAGGTGAGTGGGGACCCGCCCCTCCCCCTCCCCCCCTGCCCCTCCCCCCTGCAGCTCCCGGGGAGGGGGCGTCCGGGTCCACCGAGGCCGCCGACCGAGTGCGTGCGTCGGGAGGGGCCGGGGCCGGCCAGCTGGTCCTAGCAGGTGGGCTGGAAGCTGCGGTTGCAGCGCGCCCTGCACACGCTTGGAAAACTCACTCACTAGCTCCAAGAATGGGGCTGGGTGCCGACTACCGTAGGGGACACTTCGGCGCTGTCATTGGTCCGGGCCGGTTGCTTTCTGGGGGACATAATAAGCGAGCGCTGGTGTTTTCTGTGATCTCATTTAGCCCTCACGCCAACGCAGCGTGTAAGGCCTTCTTATCCCCATTTTGTAGATGAGGAGACTGAGGCACGGGCGATGCCGCCGGCCTTGCCCAAAGGGGGCTTGGCCCATAGTGGCAAAACCGGGATTTGAGCTAGTGAACTGGACCACTTTTGGCTAGTTCATCTTCCTCTCGAGGTATTTTCCCAAGGATGTAGGAGGCAGGCTCCCCTCCCTCCATGGGTGAAAAGAAAAAAAAAAAAAAAAACTTAACCAAACCAACCCCCCAGTCTTTAAAAAAAAAAAAAAATATATATATATATATATATATATATATTTTGGTCCCTTGAATTAAATGAGATCATGTGTTTGAAAATAGGTAGCTCTGTGCCTACCAGCTAGGGCCGGAGTCTACCATCTTGCTCCAGCTCTGCAAGGTCCAGTTGGCGGGGTTGGATAACCAGACCTCCACCAGACTGGCCGCAAGCTTTTAAAAGCGCCTCTCTTCACCCCTCTTCTCCCCACCCCCTACTGTCATGAGCACCAACAGCCACAGCCCTAGAGGCTCACAGGAGGTGAGAACGTTGGTCTGGACACTGGATGTTGATTGGACCCAGACCACCATCTCTGGCTGGTGTGCGAGGCTGACTGCCTGCAGGACCGGCCTGCGCATTCCTGCCTAGTCCCGACCCCCCAGATTCCCCAGCCGGGAAACCGACTTTGCTTCCTGCCTGCAGCCTGGCTGACGGGACTGATGGCTCAGCTTTCCAAGAAGAGGAGAGGGGTCTGTCTGTAGTCTCTCAGGCCCTGGTGGGGGCAGGGCCCTCTGCTGTCCCAGGCATGGGCGACTCTGCATTGGGAGCCTCCGCGGCTTCCGACTCTAGGGCTTGGAGGGTGTTGTGAGAAGCCTCCTTCTTTCCACTCCTTGAGTCTTGGTGCTCACAGGAGCAAAGAAGTCCGGTCAGGGAACGTGAGGCATGTATCTCCTTCATCACCTGCCGGGGAGATGGTCGAACCGTTTGGAAGCTCATTGGAGAGATAGGAATAAGAACATCTACCCCCCTAGCTGCAGAAGGGGAGAGTGGGTTGGTGATGCTTTTGGGAAGGTATAGAGTAATCAGCTGATTAAAGGTGATAGGCATTGGCAGGCCAGCGTGGAGCAGAGGCCGAGATGAGACGAGAGTCTGTCTCATGCAGGGTGGGCCTGGCTCTCTGGGGGGAGGTCTTACACCCCGCTGGGGACCAGCCACTCTCTTGGGCCCATCTTCTCTTGAGGACTTGAGAATGGCCTGGTTCCCTGCCTTGGCGGTGGGGAGGCTACCTCTGTCTCTGTGGGCAGCTTCTCTGGGGTGGGGTAGGGGAACAGGCACTTGCTCTCGATGGTGAAACACAGAGGGATGGGCCCTTCTGTCTCCCAGTGTTGATCGTGTCGTCATGCCTCAGGCTTGTGCTGTGTTTGTTTTATTGTGTGTGCTTTTTGGACCTGGCTACTAAGGAGATGGAAAAACTGTGCCCAATCTCAGAGGGAGATAGGTTGACGTTGAGCAATGCTCTGTTCAAGTTGCACGCAGGGCGTGGGGTGTGATGTCAGCTTCTGGCGCTGGCCTGGAATGAGACGGGCACTGCTGGGGCAGGTGGAGTGTGGGTGCCTCTCCTCCCGCCCGCGGGGCTGCATGAAGCACCTTCCCTTCCTCCATATTTTGGTGAACTGGGGAGGTGCATCTTTTCTGAAGGTGATTCCGGGCTCAAGTTGGATTTTTCCAAAGCAAGTGACTCCCTTCTTTGGGACTCAGTTAACCTATCTGTAAAGTGAGGGGTGAGTGGGCTAGCACTGTGCTCTTTGAAGCCCCAGGCTTCCTTGGAGAGGGTCTTGGAGTTCCTTGAATATTACATAACACTTAATATTTTAAATTATATTACAGTGTTAATGCGGTTATAAAAATGTGCTCACTTTTTTAAGTTCTTAATGTCAACTCATTGTTAATTGTTCACTTGTTAGTAGTTGGCCTCAAGTTAAAGCCACCCTCCTGTCTTCACTATTTGTCTGAAGAGTACTCTGAGATTGCAGAGCAAACCGCTAAAAACCCTTCCCATTTGTAGCTACTTATCTGTGTGAGTCAGGATTTTCCTGAAACTCTGCAGCCAAAACTGGAGATAGAATTAAACGGAATGTGGTACTGTCATCCATGGTCCCTGTTCTAAATGTTAATGAATCAAAAATAGCCTCATCAACTTTACTGATAGAATTCAGAATAAGTAACTGTTGTATTATGCGAATTTACAGTATAAATGTATACCAGTGACATTATGTTTTTACTTGTTTCTGTATTTGGGTTTCTCATGAGAATTTCCTTTGGGAGGAAAGCAGGCATCTCAACAATTTAAGGGAAAAAAATTAAAAAACCACTGGGCTAGATGATCTCAAAAGGTCTTCCCAGCCTTGAAAAAATACAATCTTGAGTTTGAGCTCCCAAGCCCACTTTTGGCCTCCTGTCCATAAGAGATGTCAGCGTCTGGAGGGATGGGACCACGGTGTTTGCTCGGGCTGTTGGCCACTGAAGGCTTTAGATCCTTTCCGGCTGTCTAGCACAGAGCCCCAAGCAGTGACCAGTGGAAGGGGTCTGTGCCAGGGAAGGAGAGCTTCGAGGGTTTCCTCCGGTTTACCTGGAGGAACTCACAGCCTTGGACACCTCCACTTGCTTCCCCAGAATGCAACCTGGTGCGCGTAGCTCTGTGTTCTCCAAGCTGGAGGCATTTCGGTTCTACCTCTGGGATTTGTGGCCTTATCCACGTACCTACCATCGTCTGTATTACTACTTATGTAAAACTATTCTTCAGCAGCGTTATTGAGGTGTAATTTGCATATCATCAAGTTCTCTTATTTTAAGCGCACAATTCAGTGATTTTTTTTTTTAAAGTAAATCCACAGAGTTGTGCAACCATCACCACAATCCAGTTTTAGAAAAATTGCATCACCCCCCAAAAGAGCCTTCATGCCGGTTTGCAGTTAATCCCGATTCCCACCCCGGCCCAGGCAACCCTGATGTGCTTTGGGTTTCTATAGATTTGTGTTTTCTGGACACTTCATATAAATGCAGCTGTAGCGTATGTAGTCTTTTGTGTCTGCCTTCTTTCACTTAGATAATATTTTGGGGCTTCACCCATGCTGTAGCCTGTTTCCTCTAGATTGCCTACATTCCTTTAGATTGGTGACTATTCCACTGTGTGGACAGACCACATTTTGTTTACCGGTTCACCTATGTAGTCAGTAGAATTAATTAATTAATTAATTAATTTATTGTCAGTGGAATTAATTTTTTTTTAGTTTTTTTTTTAATTTTTATTTATTTATGATAGTCACAGAGAGAGAAAGAGAGAGAGGCAGAGACACAGGCAGAGGGAGAAGCAGGCTCCATGCACCGGGAGCCCGATGTGGGATTCGATCCCGGGTCTCCAGGATCGCGCCCTGGGCCAAAGGCAGGCGCCAAACCGCTGCGCCACCCAGGGATCCCTTGTCAGTGGAATTTAAATGTGAAGAGTCACTCGTGTCCCCCCTCACATCCTCTCAAGTGCCATCAATGGTGCCAACCATTGGTCCTCTCAAGTGCCAACCATGCCTTGGAAACACCAACCCAAGGCAGAGCCCCTGGCCTGGGGCGCCTGGACCCTGGCTCTGTTCGCGAGGGCTTTGGTTTCCCCTTGGTCCAACCAGCTCTGAGCTCTCGCCTGTGAGGGAAATGTGGTTACCCAAACTGTACCGTCGACAAGGTTGTCAAGCGTTGATCTGGAAACCAAAACAAACATCTCTGCCCTGTCACCATCCAGCACCACCAAAACGTCCTATTCTGAGTTTGCAAGCTGGGGGCTTTTCGCTGGAGATACCCGCTGAGTCTATCTGAGCTTGAAACAAGTGGGGATTTCTCTGCATCGCATCCGAGACACTCAAGACTCCTGGTCTGGCTCTGCTACTAGGTGGTGTGTGACCTCAGGCCGGTTGCTGCCCTCTCTGAGCCTTAGGTCCTCCACCGTTGCGGGAGGGGATTCCTTTTGGTGAGCCCTCCCGACTTGCCCTATACTTTGTTCTGTGACTCAAGGGGGTCCAGGTCGAGGCTGTTCATCCTGCCTCGCGGACTGGCAGCCCTCCCCCTCTCCTGCCCCAGGCCCAGTGTGGTTTGGAACCGTCTGTCTGGGTTTCCCTCCCTCCCCCTGCAGGTTGCCAAGTGCTGTGCCCCTGACTTGAGTTGGCATGAAGGGCTTGGTTTGTTTTTCCCTGGTGGTTGGGTGATCAGAGCTTTGCTTGAGAGCCAGGAGGGAACATAGTGATCATTTAGCCTGATGGTTCCCACAGGGGCCTTTTGGAGCCTTGGGATCCAGAGCTGCGTGCCTTGGGGCAATTCCGGGGACAGGGCACGGGGTTGCCGAGCCCCTAGGATCTGGCCCCCATCAACCACAGCAACTCTATTTCCATGACTGTCAGATTGGTCTTCTGAGGAAGGTTCAGTTGGAAAACAGGGTGCTACAGTTTAGAAAACAGAGAGAGAGAGGGAGAGAGAGAGAAGTCGGTGATTAAGCTGAGTTACTTTCATTTTTGAGGTGGGGAAACTGAGGCCCAGAGGGAGCCGACTGACCCACAAAGCTGAGTTGCCAAGACCTTGCCTGCCGTCGAAACCTTTCCCCACCACTCTGAGGTGATGCCCACA